AGAAAGAAAGAAAGAAAGAAAGAAAGAAAGAAAGAAAGAAAGAAAGAAAGAAAGAAAGAAAAAGAAAGCCAGCCAGCCAGCCAGCCAATCTAGCTTCAAGAAACTCTTCTTGACCAGACATGATGAAATGGGAAGCAATTTTTAGGAGTGAATGTATGCAACACTGGGGTATTTTAAAACATTATAGAAGGGAAAAATCTGTTCAGAGTAAATCTGAAATGCAATAAGTTTCAGATACAAGGTAAACCAACCAACGAACCCTCCAGTGTTTGAAGGAAAAAATAAAAGAATTTGACCTTATAGAAATAAACTAGACTGTAATTTCATTGTTAGACCTAAAACAAAAATATTAGGAATCTAATTAAAAAAATTCAGAATTGCACTCATGTTCTAGAAACTAGCGATGAAAAACCTTATACCAGCCTCCAAAACCACAGGGGAATCTGTTTCACCTCCAGTAAATACAGTTTTGTTATTTTTTTTATCCTAAACTAAATACTGCTCCCAAATTAAACCTTTCAAAGATCAGAAAGTATCTGGTATAAATATAGCTGAAACTGTTGCTAGAAGACATGCAGTTGGGACTTAACAGACCAATAAAAATGGAGGAATTAGAGGTTGGTCCAAAAGGTAGTGGGTCCAGTCAGTGCAGATTTCTATAAATGTTAACAAAAGAGCTCCTTGTTAACCCCAGTATATCAAACATGTCAAGAGAATTATTTCCCCAAAGCCTGAAGCGAATTATTATTGATTGCAATCCTCAAACCTCAAAGGACAATATTTAAAAAAAAATAAAGGTGGACTTTTTAAAGGAAGTGGGTAATAGGTATACAAATATTCTAGTTTGGCTATTGTATAGAAATAATTTAAACTTTTCCCATGTCTTTCATTATTATCATCTGTTTTTCTGAATCCTGATTTTGATGTAAAGAAGAATAAAAGAGCACAGAAAGAATGGAAGAAAGGTTTATTTCACTTGTGGAGCTTCTCTAGACATAAAAATTTCAGAAAAGAATCCTGGTTTTTGGGTTATAATGATACAATGAGTTGGGTTATAATGAAGTTTGGGTTATAACGATACAATGGATACAAGGAGAAAACCACACCCCCACCAACACTGGCAGGGCAAGCTAGTATATATAAACAGGGAGCAAACCCCACACTC